TGATACAAGGACGATGAGTTATAACATATCATAGGCCAAATAGGCTACAGGCTACAGGCCAGAACCTCTCTAGGTTAAGGAAAATTTAGTTAATTACCATTATTTATTTATTTATTTTTTACATAATCTAAAAATAAATCTAGGAAATAAATACACTATCATTAGAATAATTAAATTATTATTCAAGTAAGATATGAGATAACATTTTATATGATTTTCTTTAATGGTTTCCTTTATGTTCCGTATCAAAATAAAGAACAATTTATGCTAGAAATTTGTTAGGAACCGTTACTCTTGAACATTTAAACTTGTGTTCCATATTAAAAATTCATAAACATATAAGATTTAATAATTTAAACGATTTAAAAACGTGTTTTTAATTAAAAAATTTTGCTTTAAAAACCTATCTAAATTGATATAATAAATATAAACCCATTGCAAATATATTGTCTATCAAGGATAAAATTTCTATTTTTATATTCTATAATGATTTAATTAATAGCAGTTAATTAATTAAAAAAATTGACTGATTTTTTACGGATTTAAAAAGAAGAAAATCTTTATAAATTAATTAGTAATTTAAAATAATTAACTAATAATAAATAACATAAAAAATAATTAAATAAAATAAGAGAAGTAATTGGAAATAAAGAAAATTTATCATCAAATCATTTTGGTTAACCATAGAATAAAAAAAAATAAATAAATGGCAGAAATATTAGACGACCGAGATATTTTTTTTTAAGTAGAGTTTAACGTTTCAGACATTACAGTCGGAACTTTAGATAACATTAAGCATTTAGTCAAATATATATAATTTATATAGAATAATATACTGTAATCTAAGCGTTAAATGGTATCGCAACTCAAAAGGATATACACTGTCTGTCCACGTTATATATTAAATTACTTCCGGTTTGTTATTTTATCAACTGTTCATTAGCGTATCGAATCTATTATCTTTTTTTTTCGAATATTTCCATATAAACTCGATTCAAATTATATTATAATGAAAATATTTAATTTTTTTTATTTTTAGTAACTTCTCCTAATCACAGATGGCGCTTAAAATCTAATACCATTCGATCCCCCTATAACACTGTTGATTATTCTGTTTTATATGAATTCCATGTTGTACGAGTCATTTAGATTTTACAAATACGTGAGCCGTTCACAGCCTGGCACACGTATTTGTAAAATTTAAGTGACTCATACAACATAGAATTCATATAAAACGGAATTATCAACAGTGTTATCGGGGGGTCGACTTGTATATGTTTTTTTAATACCTTTTTTTTTTTTAGAAAAAGTTACCTCACTCCATACAAATTTAAAGTGAAAATTTTATTAAAATTAATATTTTTTTTTATTTTTTATTTTTTTTATAAAGTAAAAATCATTCATCTTAAAACCTTTTTAAGTGCCCCTTTCTAAACAAATATTATCTAGATCGTATTACTTATCGACATACCCTTCGTTTAAACTTATATCAATAAGCTTGTATATGTATATACAAACTATTTTGATAAGTTATTGCACAAACAATTCCTCTTAAAAAGTTATCATTGTGATTAAATTGATAGAGCACGTATACCTCGTATATCTTTGATATCTTACTTACTTTATATACATTCCATATGTTTTATATTATAAATATGTATTGTATATAGGGCGTGAGAGATGAGATGGGGCCAAGAAAACAATTTAATTCTTTCATATCATGTTTTTTTAAATAAAAAACTAAATTTTTTATATCCTTCTATTCGTAATTTTAACCTTTTATATCTATAATCAAGCGATTACTATGTACAAATCTTTATCTGGGCCCGAATTTATATCTTAATTTATTACGTTTTATATAAATATTAATGTCATCTATTTTAATTATATTTATTTATTTATTTATCAGTGATAAATGTTTGAAAAATGTCGTTTTTTTGCATTGTTAGCGTATAAAAATCAATGTTAATTTGAATACATCTGTGAAGTAAAATACTCCTTTTAAAGAGAATAAGTCTTTGGAAAATTTTAATAAGGTTATTAGTAAATAAAAAACTTGTATAATGAATATTCTTTTAAGAAATTTGAGTATATATATGTAACATTAACTCGAATTTAAGACACTACTTCACGAATTTCCAAATTTAAAATTGGGATGAGCATTATACGTGAAATCATATCATAATATTTCTCTCTCTCTCTCTCTCTCTTCCTTCATATTTTTAATTTATTTATGTATATTTAATATACTTATTTTAAATAAATATTACCAAATTTATTTTTAAAAAAGTAGGCACTATAAAATCAATTCTAATTTCCACGTGTGTGCTAGAAAATAACAAAGAACCAACCAAAAAATAGGACAGTAAACAAGATAGCGAAGTGTAAAATTGTTTTAAAAAAATATACCAAAAATTACTGTAACAAATTTAAATATATTAAGAAATTTTTAAGATAGATAAACGTAAATAATTTCGTGCAAATTTTCTGGAAATTAAAACAGAAAAAAAAAAAATATTGTTTTGTTTGCATCAATAAACTTAACTTGTTTCGATAGAGTTCAAAGTCCGAAACATCGTTATGACACAAGTACTATTTATCTAAGAAACCTGTGTAGACACAAGTAATGCATACAAATGACCTCACAGTTAACAATGATTGGTCGAAAGAAAATTAAGAACAATCTGAATTGGCAACAATTAGTCGAGAGAATGGTTTAGTTACTCTTCTCTTTTAGATACTGTCGATCACGTTTATCTGTCTGTGTGTGTAGACATCTGATTAACAAAGAATGACGTAAGCAAACGTTAAATAGATTCCTTAGCAATACGTTCCTTTTTTTTTTTCCCTTGTGTTTTCAGAAAAATGGCGTGCAATTTCTCGAGAGAATTAACGATAATGAACAGTTTTAAACTCCCAAAAAAATTATATTTTATCAATAAAACAAAAGGAGAAAAAAGTGAGAAAAACTGAATATTTCTTTTGACATTTTTAATATTATAAAATTTATTTTGGTTGTATATCTTGCTTTGCATAAAACAGTCTCGAAATTGCAACTGGGATCACAAAGTTATCAAACGACTTCCGGAAAACTGGATTGAAGTAATTATTGTAGACCGGTTCTCTGTGTCTTTTTTTTAAAATATATATATATGCATATACTTTTTTTTCTGTTAAAAGAATGGTCAAAACCCTGATAGCTAGTTGTAAGTCTAAAGTTGCTATTCATGTGCCAACGGTAAATATGTAATAAATATCATCAAAGAATTATAAAATAGGAAAAATTAGTAGAAAGTATTATAAAGGATATAAATTTNATATACTTTTTTTTCTGTTAAAAGAATGGTCAAAACCCTGATAGCTAGTTGTAAGTCTAAAGTTGCTATTCATGTGCCAACGGTAAATATGTAATAAATATCATCAAAGAATTATAAAATAGGAAAAATTAGTAGAAAGTATTATAAAGGATATAAATTTATGAGCACGTTGAGCTTAATATTAAACAGTATTTTCACTTCTTTAGAATATATCAAATTTATTTCATGACCTAAACTTATATAACAACTCTTTCTTTATTATTATTATTTTTTTATCGATTAAAATTTATTGCAGATTTAATAAATGTTACCTAACAAGGGCAGGATTTGCACGTAAGGAAAATAAGATGAAAACTTAGGGCCTCTCTTTATGAATCTATAGCTTAGATACAAGGAAAATTGTGAGGCCTTTATAAAGCATAAGTCCTTCTCTATAAATTATTTTTAGAGGTGTTTCGAGTCTATAGTTGTGAGGCCTTTATAACATCTCTACAAAACTTATTATTTTCTATATATATATATATATATAAGAGAAAAGGGCCCTGTTATATAAGATATTATAGTTTAAGGCCTTAATTAAAGGGCTAGATATCTTATATAATAATTATAAACTCTCTTCTCAATTTAACCTAAATTATAATCTTATTTGTTTTGTTAACTTTGAGGTTATTTTTAAAAATATATTACGAACTGTCGTCGGGTTTAAAGGAAAAAATAAAAAATAAAAATTATCTTAAATCAATCACGAATAAATAAACTCTTGATAAATTCATTTATTCTATCTTTTAACATTTAGCCTTTAAAATTTATCTATAGACAGACGGATGAATGAAGTAATACCAATTACTCGCAAATTGGTATCGACCCGTAATATTTATACATTCTTTCTTTAAAAATATAATATAACAAGGTCTCTGGGGATTATTTCTAGAAACATGTTAATAAAATTCTTTCTCTTCTCGTTACTTGGAGACAGTTCATATGCAAATGGCAATCTAAAGTCAATCTTAAAAATAAATTTGCTGAACCTACGCCATTATTGTTTGCAAGCGTTTTGTTAAAATTTTGTTTACACTTGCTTAAACTGTTCTTAGACGGATACCAATTTAATTTATTTTTTTTTTAATTCCATTTTAAAAAAATTTTTATTACTTGTATGTACTTTTGTTTCTATCTCTATCTTCAAACAAAAAAAAAAGTAAGCCTAAACGTAACGTAGATATACGGGTGGCCCAAAAGTCAATTAACCGTGTTTTATGTGTTCCGGTAAATTCATTAACCTTTTTTTTTTTAACAACTTAAGTCTATCTTCGAACAACTGTAAACACAAAAGGGTGTGTGCCAAATGTCAGTTAACCGTATTTGTTTTTTTTTATCTTCACGCAATGTAAGACCATTGAACAAGATAAAAGCGTGAAGGGTCGATCAAAAAGTCAGTTCAACGCGTATTTTATGTATTTAAAATACACTTGTAAATGAGAATCGTAAAATTGAAAGCTTAGAAGAGCGTGTCACAAAAAACGTAATCAAAATAAGCTCGGTTAACCGAATTTTGTGACGATTTATACTATATTAATGTAAATTACACGCGGTTTATTTATTTATTTATTTATTTTAAAGATAAGTTATTATAATAAATGAACGGAATGGAAGCGTTTAATAGAAAGAATTGATGGAACTTACCGTTGTACCACGTTGGCTGTTGAGCACTTTGATCATCAAGGGACATACTTTTTTCCTATGTAATTTGACGTATCGTCGACGCCAAATTGGAACCAAGTGTTTACATTTCGCCGTTTTGCTTTCTGATAATCTGATAAATACTGATAATCCTAAATTAATAAACGAGAAATTTATAATTGGCAACTTGTAATCCACTGCAAAGTAAAATTTAATTCGATATTACACACAAATATTTATCTCTTAATTTTACTCAAAAATTCCAATTTAAAAAAGAAAAAAAAATTTTTTTGTTTTGTTTTTAAGGAGATAAAATTTTAATTTTTATAGTTATTAATACAAATTATCACTTTATAATTTTATAAATATATTTTTTAATTTTTTTTTTAAATATAGGCCCTATATATGACACATTTCTATTTATTTAGAGTGATTTTAAAAGTTATAAAAAGCTTAAAATATAGGTTAAATGGTTAGAGATAAAGTTATAAATAAATTAAAATTATTATAGATTTATTTTAATTCATTCATTAAAATTTTAAATTTTATATTTAAGATTCTATACGTTTAATATTGATGATAGCCTAAAGGGTTATCGTCAAAGAATATTTAAATTTAAATAATTACTGTAATTATTTTCAAATAATAAAAAGTTATAATATATTCTTCTACGTATTGATATATAAAATCAATAAATCAATTTTTACATTATTTAAATAAGGTTAAAATTAAATTATTTAATATTAAATATGGAATCGATTTTAAACTCATTTCTGTCACGTGGTCTAAAGATTTTCCCCCACTTATCACGTGGTCCAAAGGGGGTAGGAATTTATCACGTGATTTGTCTTTAAATCACATGACATTTTAACATTTTTTTAAAAAGATTATTTCTGACAATTAAAAGTGAGAAATAAATTTATAAAAAAATAAATATTTTCTTTACTTTTATATAATATAAATAAAGATGTAAAAAAAATTAAATTTTTAATGTATAAATGCAAATTTAAATGTAAAAAAAAAATATGTTTTATCTATTTTATAAATATATTTATAAATAAATAAAATATCAATGCAAAAAACACTTAGAAATCAATTTGTTAATTATATATTTTTTAAAATTTTTTCATAATAATTCATACCTAAGAATGAATTTCAGAGTTAAAAAAAGAAGACAAGAAAGGCATTTTTGTATGGCTATTTTATAAATACAAATATTTTATGTTTAAATTTATGACGAATTCGAACAAGTTTTTAAGATAAACCAATCATTCTTTATATAAATATTTAAGAGTAGGACCGTGGAAATAATGGTTTTAGCTTGTACTAAAATATTCAATATATATATATATAAAAATACCATAACGGCTATCGATTGAAAGAATTGTTAAGAATAACTTACAAAAAAAAATTGAAATTTATAAATAAAAATTAATGATTTATACGTATTAAATTAATTGAAAACTTTTAAACTTTCTTACTAAAAAAATATAAAATATAATAAATATATAAAATTAGAAAATATCTTAAGATTTTTTTTTATTCAAAAAATACAGCAAAAAATTTTTAGATTTTTGTACTTTATGAATTGATTATTAGAGTAAAATATTTAAAGTTTACTTTTAAAAAAAAATAAAATAAAAAATCCTCTTTAAAATGCTTACTTTAAAAATTCTAATAATAAAAATATTTCTTCGCTCCACTTTAAAATATAAAAAATTTATGAAATTTTATATACATATATACCTATAGTATATTTCTTTTAAAGTAAACAAAATCGAAAACTATATATTTGACCAATTTATTTTAAGTACTCGAAGAAAAGCATCCGTAACTTACTGCAGAATAAAAGAAAATAAAAATTTACACGTCTGAACAACAACAACAAAAAAAAAGTTAAAGTTACAGTCGTTAAAAATCTTTAAATCAAATGTAAAATAACTGTACTTCTGTAAAGTAGAATTTGATGTATTTATATTAAATTATAGAGTGAAAATGGAACGAATCCATCCAATTACACGGATAATATGGATTTTCAATATAATAATTTCGTGTAAATTTTATAGATATTGCATTCAAAGGAATATAATAAAAGACTTAATCTCTTATCCTATTCATCTGAATTGCGCTATTACAGATAGAGAAGGTAATGTCTTTTACATAACTTTAATTCGTTCTAATAAATAATTATTGTATAATTACAGTTAATTTAAGTGTGTTTTATTATTTATTATCGATAAATTATGAAGAATCGATACAAAAATTGCTTTTTTTTTGTTTGAAAAACAAATCGATTTATAACATGACCTAACCCATTGTTGGGTTGCAATTTTTAAATTGTAGACGTATAAATAAATGCCTACTGTCGTCCGTCTGTCCGTCTGTCCGTCTGTTCTTAATCTCGAGAACGGAGTTAAGTAGATGAAAATCAAGACCAGATGTGGAAAGCTTAGGGATTAACTATATACGAGCTTCCGGTCTGGACTGGAAGTTACGTGATTTAACTCGAAATTATTTATGGAACTGAGTTAAATAAACGAAAATGGAGACCAGATATGGAAAGTTTATTTTACTGTTAATATAATAGTTTTAATACATTTATTTGTCTTAATATAATTACAATCCTTCTCTAAACTTTTAAATGAAAAGATTACAATTCTAATTAAAAAATAACAATAATATCAATAATAATAAACAGAAATAAATAATTGTATAATCTATATTTGTCCTAAATAAAGTCCTTCATATTATTTTTATACTTAGGAATTCCAGTTAATCATACAATTATTAATTATAGAAAAAAATGATAAGATTAAGTCTAAAGAATGAACAGAAAGAATTTCAAAGAATATCTTGGATTTCATCCTTTATCTTCATCCAAGAGGATTATCGTCCAGCAGGAAAACAAAGAGAGGATATCCAAATAAAAGATAGAGAGAATTCGTAACAGGTAATCTGGATTAAGAACCTGGATGTGTTAATGATAATGATGATGAAATTCTTCGCAGACGTGACCAATAAACATATTTCATATCTGAATTAAGATAATTTTTTGTACTTTTTAACCTTATTCTTCAATTTTTAATAATGTAAGAGGTAAAACCGTAATGGTTTCATTTCTGCATATTAGTAATAATTCCTAGAATAAATTTACGTCTAACTTGAAGTATGTGTACCAGCAATTAGTCTGACAAATCGGAAATTGTTTCATGATCTTATACACTAATAAACCATTCAAATTTTTCTAGTAATTTTGTATAGATATGTACGAAATTAAAAATATTACACATATATTATCATTAATATATACAATAAAGAATTTTATTCTGTTTTCACACAATAAAACATATTAAAATTCTAATTTGTTCCCATATAAAGTTAATAATTTGATATAAATCTTCGAAATTTATGCTTCAATAAGTAAATGTTATTAAATTTGACTTTATATATTCGAACCTGTAAATAGCGGCAATATTTTCAAGAACGTTTCTCTGTGAAATGTATACAAAATAACCTCCAAACAACATTTCCATTACATTAATTTCTGCGGATTATTCATTAATTTGTTGGATAAAAGTACTGTTTTGTTGCTTTTGTTAGTAACAAACTACTCAAGTGGCATGTCTCAAGGTTAAGAATTTTCAACGGTACTTCTCGTATAAATACTTTACTAGGTTACTTCAAACAAAACCCATTGATGATAAATTATATTCCTGAAAGGCACATTGAAGTCCTACATTAAGTAATATGAGTAGTACGTTCCTTAAGCTGCAAGTTAAAAAAATATAAGTGAAATTTAATCTGAGTTACTAATACTACATTGGAATGTTTGAATTTTTTTACAAGAGAATTAATATAATTTATTTATTTTATACATTTTATATATAAATACAGATTCTTATACATAATTTACCTTCAGTTATTATTATTATTATTATTATTATTATCATCATCAAAAATAAAATTTCAATTCTGTAGAGTAATAGTAAATATTTTTATATTTCCTTCCTTCCTCCCCTTATTTTCCTTCTTCAAATTTTATAAATTCTATTAAAGAAATGTTACGAAGATTACATCTTTCTTCGCTTTATGTAAATTTTCAGTATTAAATTAAATTTATTTCAAAAAAAAATAATAATAAAAAATGAAGAAGAGAAGCTTCGTTTTATCCTCAAGGGTTTTAAAAAGAGATGCTAAATATTACACTATTTATTGATGTAGATCTCGAGTTATTTAAATTTAACGTCGGATAAAGGAAATAATTTTTATTGAATTTCATCCTTCTCCTTTATTTTATTAAATATTGTAAAAATCATTAATTAAATTCTACTAATTTCTTTGTAAAATTAACTCAATTATATTCGTCAATTAACAAAATTAAGATCTAGAAAAATTAATTGTTATTAATGAAAATTTTAATTTGAAATAAATTAATTTCTATCATTAATAAATATTTATTAAATTTATAATATTTGTACTTAACATCATTAAATTGTTATTAATTAAAGGGCAAATTTATATTTAAGATTATTGTTAACGTTGGAAAAATAATATTTTATAATGTCGTTAGTTAAAGAGCTCGAGTTTATCTTGTTTATTTTTAGATTTTAATGTTCTTTCTTCCAGCTTTTTTATGGTAATTTGTAAGGAAAATAATATTTCTATTTATATATTTAATGACTTCAACATATCGTTACAACATTTTCTATTTGTAAAATTCTTCTTCACTGAAACAAATATAATCTATTATACTCAATTTTCATTAAGTATCAATTGAAACAAAATTAGTACCAGAAAGAAACCATTAACTTCATTTAATATAAATCAAAAGCATGTAAATGTAATTTATCTCGACAAAGAAATTAACATTTCGAAGGAGAAAAAACACCATTTATTTGAATATATACACAGTCGAATCTCCAAATAATGGCCATGCTTTTATGTTCCCATTGTTCAGAGATTCGACTATATATATATATATTTGATACTTTTTTGAGTCATATACATAATGGACTACACTTTTTTGCTGATAAAAAACTTTTTTCCCTAATTAAAATCTTATAGAAAGGCGTGTGTACAACAGTAGCTATAATATTCAAAAACTGTACGAATGTATTTTGCAGTAGAAACTCCATTAACCGAAGTAATGATG